TCTGGCCTCCATATCTTCCTGCACACACATGAACATTGGAGCACTGGGCTGACTTGCTGACATGAGGAGTTGCTATAGAGACGTGTCAGGGTAAACAAATCATACAGCCACTTACATAGGGAGTCTGCCTGTTTCCAAATCACACACGATACAGACATGCATGAACTACAGCAGTACATACACACATAACCTTATGCTAACAGTCCTGGTTTGGGGCGGGGAGGGGTAAAGGAAAGGATCACATTTCACTGCATTTATTTTTGTATTATTTTTTTTCATAACAAGACTATATTACCCAGTTTGTTTAACGAATAAAATAAAATAAAATTCTAAGTCCTGCTGGTCTCAAATGGGGTCAGAATGTTGGTTGTCAGGGAGCGGTGATAAAAAGAAGTGACATTTTCACAAAGGAAAAGGGGACAGGGCCCTGGGTCTGGAAATGCACAAAGATATCGTGACAAGCTACTGGCTGGAAGACAGGCATGGTCCTTAGGAGTCTGGGGTCTGGGGGGACCACAAGCTAGCCAAGGGTCTGCCAGGTGACCAATAACACTTCCAAAGCACAAAGCAGTGGCTTTGTCAGCTCTGACCAGCAGAACTAGATTTGAGAGCAAACCCTTGCTGGGCTGTGGTGGCACACACCTTTAATCCCAGCACTGGGAGGCAGAGGCAGGTGGATCTCTGTGAGTTTGAGACCAGCCTGGTCTACAGAGCTAGTTACAGGACAGCCTCCAAAACAATACAGAAAACCCCTGCCCTCAAAAAACCAAAAATGAAAAAACCCAACCAAACCAAACCAAAACACACGAGAGCAAACCCCTTGATGTAAATGGGATTTCTCTGTGTCCCTCAATCTCTCCCTGTAAACTAGGAATGACCACAGTGCCTGTTCCACAGATCCAGCATGTTAATATAATAAACACCAGTGAAGCGCTCGCGACTGTCGCAGGAGCAGAGTCCGGCAGCAGGCATGCAGATGTATTCTTAGCTCCCAGCAAAGTAGGTTATGGTATAAAAATACCATTAAATAGTAACTAAACTAGCGTCACCTTAATGCGCATCTTGCCAGCAAAGCCAGCATGTGCGATTTCTTTTTAAATTACCCTATATTAGAGAATCAAGACCAGGGCTCCTTCTGGAGAGCAAGCCATTAGGCAAAGGCCAGAGGTCCAATTACCCCTTCCCCTCAGATGATGGGAAACCCACTCTGGCCAAACCCAAGACTCAGCCCCTGCTTTCACGTGAATGTAGTCCAGGCCCAGGGTTCACAAGACAACACAGAAGAGCAGTGTAGGTGCTCTGGGGACAGGCAGACGGGGGGGGGGGGGGCAGCCCTAGCAAAGGCCCTGAGGCAGAAAGGGTCTTCCAGCGCAAGAGAGAGAAAGCGACCACAACAGGAAGCACAAGATTCCTCTTGTACCCAATCCTAGAACAAGGTAGCGTCCAGAGCTGAGCTGCCCTGGATGTCCTAAGTTTATTAAGTGCCCAGCAGGCCACCCAGCGGTCCAGAGCAGGTCAGAAGAATCATCGACAGCAGACAGTGCTCACACACCCCAGCCTGACTGGGGGCCGGAGATGGAGTCAAGGACACATTAAGGTCAGTCCTGGGCCTATAGGAGTGAGGCCAAGAATGGTCAAGGGTTGTCTCCACAGCCCAGGCTTGGCAAGAAAGTGAGTAACCATAGATGCTGCAATAAAAATACCATTAAATAGGAATTAAGCTGTAGGCTGAGACCCCCATGACCTCTCCCCCAAAGTAGGAGTGTCCATGATCCCCTGAATTATATCCAAAACTTATGAAGTGCTTTTCTCCAGGGAGACCACCTATATTTTAATAAAACAGTCACCCTCTAAAAATAGAAAATTCACACACATTAATCCAGAACTCGTAGCCAGGGAGGTGGGCATGGCAGGGTGTGGTAAAGCCTCACCAGGAACCCTACCACCAGGGGCAAACACCAAAAGCAACTCTCCAGCTTGCCCCTGAAACCGTGTGCACAGGGTTGGTCATGTGACGAGCCAGAAGGAACAGGAGACAAACTTGATTTCTGTGAGGAGCACAGCAGTTGATACATGGTGCGCATACCACGTGGCAGCCACGGCCACAGAACCACATATGTTAGCAGAACAACCCTGGCTGAGAGAACAAGTTCTGGATCTTTACATAAAGTTATAAGGAAAGTGGGAAGGGTCATGGGCTGATGGGGGTCCTTGTATCTGTACGAATGAATGCAGCGAAGAATGGAAGTGCTTGAGCCCAGACAGAAGAAAATGGGGTATTTAGTATGTACGTGCATTACACTACTTGCTATAATTTTAAGACAGGACTTTAAGACAAAACAATGAAGAATTTTCCAGTTCTGGGTAAAAGAGACACCAATATTTATTGTCTCTAGGGTTTCTGAATTTTTAAAACACATCCAATAAGAACATAATTTAAAGAACCCTAAGGGTTCTTAGTCCATGTGGCCTAAGGACTTTCCCACTTTGCACTGTGCTTGCTCTGGGACCCTGGGTTCATGTCCTCTACATCCCAGAACTAGCTGCAAAGAAAGACACACACTGGACCCCAGAAGCTATTCCCCTCTGCCAGCCCACCTGCTGCCCAGGCCTGAGGAAGGAGAGATCTAGATCCAAGACAGCCAGGAAGGGAGGGGAAAGCCCAGAGCTGCCACCAGACAACCAAGAGCAGCTGTGGGCCTGGGACCAACCCTTTGGCCAAGCAGGGGACTCAGCATCTCCTGACTGGAAGCCAGAAGCTACAGCTTTAAATAAACTTGGATGTTTCTACCTGGGGCTGTGAAACAGTGGCAACTGTGCCTCAGGCAGGCGGTGTCAACAACTAGCCAACATGGCTCCTGGGGGTGGGGGTGGGGTGGGGGCTGGTCCCACTGTTTATCCTGAGGGTACCATCCCCTTCCTCACTCTCTTTGCCCATCCCTGGGGTCTGGCATCCAGCAGTCTCCACAAAGGAATGCAGGCTGAGCTGATCACTCCTGACTGACTAGCTGGCCCTTCCACACCCAGCTTGGGGGTCTGACCCTGGCACCTGTGTGGTGTCTCACTTGGGTGAGGCGCTCATTCTTTGTACCTAGGGAAGAGCTGGCAGTCCCAGATCTCACCTGTGTCTACTGCAAATGTCACCCTTCAGCTCCAACTCCCCAGCAGGGGTGGGAGCGGTCACCTTATGCTGCTGTTCAGCACAGGCAGGACAGCTTGCACCAACGTGCAAAAGCAGACCAGCTAGGTGATCTGGAGGTTATGGTCTCTTGACATGGACTGCTCCGAAGATACCAAGAGGCCCAGGGAGGGATACAGGCTCCCAGGCACACAGGAGAAGGTGACAAGAAGGTTCCCTAGGAAGAAGATACTTCCCACTGCTCCGTTTTGACTATTGCCACCTGCCCTGGCAGCACAAGACACAGCTGTGGAGGAGATGGGCAGCTAGCTGGGAAGAGTCCTCTTCAAAGCATCAAGGAGGTCTGAAGGGCTGCCCCCCAACCTTGAAGCTGTCTCACCTGAGGACTCCCAGCCCATCACCTCTTCCTCTCAGAGCACAGCCCCCACCGGCTACTGGAAGCTTCTTCCATCACTCCGAGTATGACAGGAACCACAGGAACAGAAGAAGGGGTGCTGGAGTGGCTATTCAGGTTTCCCAGCCTAGGTCCTTGCAATCCAGCAAAGGCTTCCTCCTGCCACTCCACTTGGCTCCGAACCCCCCCCCCCCACCAGGCCTGACCCAAATCCTCTGGGCACGTGCAGTTAGAAGTGGGGAATGCACACACCCCCACACTCCTCCAGCTGGGCACTCCACAATTATCAATGATCAGCGTCCCTCGCCCACCACAGCTTTCAGACGCTTTTTTAGTAAAGGGGGGAAAAAAAGGATTTGCGGCTGGATGTGTAAGAGGAAATCTCGCCAGCGCCCCCACGGTGCAGGAGGGATGGGGGAGGGGAGAGGGAGTGGGAAGAAGGACCCAGCTCCGGAGTTATGCAGCTAGTACCTAAGGATGTCCCTGCAGTCACCTTAAATCACTGAAGGAAGCTCCAGGCCTGACACGACGCACCTGGGGGGCTTTGGTGTTGCGGCGATCCCAGGGGCAAAGGCAGGTTGGGAAGCTTTAAACCATAGCTTCTTCCCCATATTGCTCATGCTGCGGGGCAGCCTCTTGGTGCCAGGGCACCTGTTCCCCATGAGGCCCTACCCGAAATACGCCTTCAGGGTCCCTTCCCCAGCCCTCCCATCACAGGAGAAAATACAATAAAATAAATAAAATAAAACGGTTCAGAAGCCATCCTGTCTGCCTCGATGACCCTGAAATCAGAGGCCCAACTGGTTCCTGGCTTCATTCGCTAACCCCCACCCCATGGCCTGATCCTGGCTCCCTGACCTCGTCCACCCCCTCCAAATTCTTGTTTCCAGAAGAATCTGGGGGGGGGGGGAATCCTCCAGAATCCAGATTCCCCAAGGGACCCAAGGCAGAAGCTGCTCCCACGCTGCTCCCCCAGAGCAGATGGGGCCACGCGAGGAGCAGGCGCGGAGCGGTCCGCCACAGCTGCCGCCCGCCGCTCGGGTGGGGGTGAGGACAGCTCGCCCACACCGGGGACGACCCCCTGGGGCCATGGCCGACCCCTCGGGCACTCTAGGCCTGGCAGCCGCCCCCGCGTGCCGCTTGTCTCTGACCTCCCCGCCGCCAAATGCGTCACGTCTGCCCGGCGCTCGGGGGACACCTGCTGCCGCCCCCGCCACGCCGAGTCCAGATCCCCGAGTCTCGGTCCCCATCAAGCTATGGCATGGGGCAGAGCTGTACGCGCTGCGGTGGGGCAACGGGGACCCGAAACCCAAGGCTTGGGGGTCCGGACGGCACGGGGCAGTGAGCCTGGGCCCGCAGCCCGAGGGAGCCGGGGGCGCGCGGGGCCGCAGTGCGCGCGGAGCTGGCTGCGATGGGGTCCCCGCTCCCAGGGGTCTGCGGACAGCCGGAGCACGCCGAGGCTCTTACTTGCCAATATCCTCGTATAGCTGGTACTCGTCGGTGAAACGGGTGCAGGTCACCGTGGTGGCCATGGCGGCGGCGATCGGGCTCGGCGTGCGCTCGGCTGCGCTCGGGCGGCGGCGACTCCGGCTCCCGCTCGCGGGCACGGCGGCGACACGGGCGCGGGCGCGGGAGACACCTCGGCTCGCGGCGCCGGGCGGGGGCCGGGCTGGGCTGCGCCGGGCGGCGAGCGCACGCGAGATCTGCTCGCTCTGTCCCCGCCAGGAGCGCGCCGCACACCTACGCGCGCAGAGGCGCGGGCACCGCTGTCGCCGCCGCGCCCGCCCCGCCCGCCACCCCTTGCACGCGCCTTACCCGCACCCTACACACGCCTGCACCCGCACACGCACCGCACACGCGCCTTGTACCTGCACTAGCGCCCGCGCCTGCACGCGCACTGCGCCCGCACCCTACACCCGCACCGCGGCTCCATTCGCACACACGTCGCGCCCGCGCTGGTACCCGCACTGCGCCCGCACCAAGCAATCCCACCCGTGCCCGCGCCCTGTCCCAGCACATGGGCTGCACCACGCGGTGCCCACGCACTGCGTCTGCCCCTCTAGGCTCGAGCCCTGCACGGACAAGCCACTGGGCCGGCTCTTAAGCTACTGCAGTTGAACAGTGAACCCAGACTCTTCTCCCCCAACAGCCCACTTCCTCTAAACAGCAAGAGGAAACTGCACCCTACTTGGAAAGGGTCGTGTATCGCCCTCCAATGGGATCCTCCATTACCCATACCCCCACAAGATGCTGCCAGACCCCTCCTGCCTGGCCTGGCAGAGCTGCCTATGAGTCGTCTCTTAGGCAGAATGGGATGAGAGAGAGGATGGGGCTTGCTCGCAGTGGTCCTAAGCCTCTTCTCTGCTTCTCCTGGAATTGGTGACTAAGGTGTCTTCTGTCCTGGGGTGAACATTTGGAGTCCAGATGGGGGTCCTTGAAGCCAGCAAAACAGGGGCTGCTCTGCTCTGTTACGGATTCCTGTTGCCCAGATAGTCTGATCCAGCCCTTTGCCTCTGCTCTGGCCAGGAAGAGAAGCCGCTATTCTTTCTCGCTCTCTTCCCAGTCTCTCTTGAAAGAGATCCTGAAGGAAGGAGGGCACAGACATATTCCCACAAAGCTCCCCTTGGCCAGCATCCCCAACTAGACTCTTCCTTGTGTTTGGGGACGCCTCCCCAAACTGCGGCCAGTTTGGATGGCGGTGGTAGGATATTGCCTCGATTCGTTCCACTTACTAATCCCCAAGAGCAGTTTTGGTGGACTTGGATCTCAATCAAAAACTAGTCAGGGGCATCCTAGCAAGTGTCTTAGATGCAGGAGCAAATAAGTGTTCTTTGCTGAGCAGCGAGGGGTCTTCCCAAAAGGCAGATTTGACAGAATGCTGTCAGGTGAAAACAGGCTTCCTGGAAAGTCCCTCCTATGGCTGTCCAGGCCTAGCCTCTACTAGAAGACAGACAGCTAGAGAACAAGAAACACGCATGGGCAAGTACAGGTCCCAGTCAGAAGTCTCTAGCTGAGGAAATGGGAACCCTGGCCTTGACATCAGCAGGACCCAAGCAGGAAGAGAAACCCCATTGTGCCAAATAGTATGAGCTTAGACATGGAGGACCCTGGGCCATGCAACAGGCGTGGGGAAGGGTGGGGAGAGAGTGAAGGTCAGGCTGGAGCTTGCTCTTGGGGTGATGTAACCTCCCATAGCACCTGCTAAGAGCAGCTGCCGCTGTTCTTTCTGAGCTATGGAAGGAGAAGGAGGCAGGCTGCACAATAGAGTACAATTAGCAAAATAAACAGAACAAAATTGCACCCCTCCATGAGTTAGGCTGCCTTTAGGCTATCGAGTCACACACCCTCCCTCCAGCAGTCCAGAAGATGACGAGGTGGTGTCTGAATCTTAATAATGGTAGTTGATCTCGACTGTGCTTGCATGAATATTACCCATATTTTACTGTTCACTTCTCAATCCTGGAGAATGTGCTACTACCTCCTTTTTCCTAGACGGGACCACGCAGAGACAGCAGAAGTAATTTGCCAGTCCAGCAAGATGTCCTGGAAGTGAGGATCTGGGGAAGGCTCAGTTGGTAAAGTGCTTGCTGTGCAAGCATGGGGTCCCAAGTTTGATCTCCAGAACCTACGTGAAAAAGCACAGAGCCTGTAACCCCAGCACTGGGGCTTACCGAGCACATAAGCTAAATCTGACAAGCCTCGTGTTCAGTGAGAAACTCAGTTTAAAACGGAAAAGGTGGAAAGTGACTAAGAAAGATAGACATTGAACTCTGACCTACACATGCTCATGTGGAACACATACATATACACACATTCATAAAATAAAAATAAACTCATCAAAAAAAGAGTAGCTGAAATTGTTCACAAAGCCTTCTTTGCCTTTTATTTTCACACAAACATATACTAATATATACACACAGCCGAGCGGTTGGTAGTGCGCGCCTTTAATTCCAGCACTTGGGAGGCAGAGGCAGGTGGATCTCCGAGTCTGAGGACAGTGTGGCTATACAGAGAAACCCTGTCTCAGAAAAAACAAAGCAAAACAAACAAACAAAAAACAAAACATGCACACACATATACACAGACATGCATGTACAAAAACATGCACACAAGCACACTTACATACACTGTAGATATAATAAAACCTCATAAATGTACACACCAGGCAAAGACACAGCATCACTCTGGGTGCTCTTTTGTTAGGTTGTGTTATACAAAAAGGTGCAGTCACTGAAGAGTGCAATTGGAAACCGCCTGTGTCCTCAGTCTCTCCCCCTATTCTAATCCTGTGAGTCCCTGTGAGAGGCCACTCACAGGAGCCACCTGATGGGACAGAGAGGGCAGATGATCCAGCATTAGACAATCGGGAAGAGGTGAGCTGCCAAGGCATACAGGCTACCCTTGCCCAGATAGCACAGCCCACACTCTACCTTCAGGCCCAGAGGACCCTGCCCTAGCAAAATGAAAAGGTTGGGAGGGAGAAAGGTTTCCAGCTGTGACTTTTTCTGTTCTTGAACCCCAGGAGCCTTCTCATCTGGCTTCAGCTCCAGATCAGAGGCACAGACTCCTCCCTCATCCAACCTCTTCCCCACCTCCTCCCCCACCCCTCCCCCACCTCCATGTCATCTCCACCTCCCACAGTGTCCTTTTGGGCTCACTTCTGTAAGCAAGGCGGGTTCTCCCTCCCAGGTGGCAGCTGGGGTGGTTGTGGGGAATATCAGTTCTGGAAGGTTATTGTTAGGACAGTCGCCATGGTAACAAGCATCACATCTGCAGAGCCACCAGTGATGCACATGGGGCTCATTCTCCCACAGAAAAGCACCACTTTTCTGATGCCTTTACCTCCAGGGTCTGCTGCCGTATCGGGCTGTGTTGCCACTCACACCCTTTGCAGGCATAGCGACCTGCCCAGTAAATCAGACTGTTTTCTGAGCAGCAAGACAGGAGCCCATCCAACTCCAATCAGCCGGCACTGAACACACCAAGCCGTTTAGGACACTGTGGCAGGCATATGAGGTGGTGATAGAGATGGTCGGGGTGGCAATGATGACAGTGATATTAGTAGCGATTGTGGTGGCAGTGGTGGTAAAGGCGCCCCTGGTGGTAATGGATGGCAACAACAGACTGACGTCTTAGGATACAAAGCTAGTCCAGTATTGGCTTCCAGAGCTGCCTTTACAACTAGGACTTTTAACTATGATGCTGTGCTCAAGAGTGATCCCTGTCACTCTTGGTGCAGTTGCTGTGTGCCAGCTATGTGCATGGACCTGCCCAGGCATGGAATCACACCAGAGATGACCAGGTAGTCACGCATACAGGGCTTATACGCCCAAATTGACAGAAAGGCTTTCCACATGATGCTTAATACACAATAATACTCCCCCTCCCCCGCTGCCGCTGCTTGGTTTTTCGCAATTTCAGTGACCCCAACTGACACAGTCCAAAAAAATATACTAAATGGAATATTGCAGAAAGAAATAATTCTTGTTTTTCAATTGCATGCAGTTCTGGGTAGGGTGCAGCTGCAGTATGTCCTGTCCTGGCTGTGAATCATCCTTTGGTCCTGCATCTCCATGCTATCTATATTGTATGTACGCATGTACATATGTACATACGTATGCATGTATACATGCATTTGGCAAATAGCAATAGGGTTCAACACTATTTGTGGTTACTGGAGGCCTTGGAACACTGCATGTATACACATGCACACTCTACCTCTGTCTCTCTCTGTGTCTCTGTCTCTGTGTCTCCCTTTATGATCAGGGTGGAGAGGCTAATCTATACAGATTTAAAGCAAAGTAATCTGCCAGAGAGTGACAGGCAGTTTCTTCCAAGTGGGTGTTCATGGGTGACATGTAAGCAGGGTCTGGATGGGACAAAGGCGATGACCTTCAGAGAAAACGATATTGGCAGAAGAGGCAGCTGTGCAAAAGTCCTGTAGGTGGAGTGGGCTCGCGTGTTTAAGGAAAAGAATAGGGAGACTGGGCCAGGAAAAGGCCTGCTGTGTTTTGTTGGCGGTCCCTCTGTAGTAGAATCTGTCTAGCCTCTGAGTTCTCCAAGTGATGTGAGTCCGCCATTATGGCCAACAGCAACATGATAGATGGAGCTCTCTAGTCAGCCCTGAGTAATGTCCGCAGGCCTGGCTCTAAGGTTCAGCCCGAGGACACCAGACAGTAACTGCAGACTTACTCTCTGCTCACCAGGCACCAAGCTTAAGGTGGACACTACCACGCCCAGAAGAGACCAGACCGTATCCCTGATCGGGAGAGGGAGGTGAGAACAGCCCCAGCCGACCCACTCCCAGACTGCAGCTTGAAGTCTCCCCTCCTATATGCTGTGTAGGCTTCTGTACTGTATAGGCTTCTGGCTGGAGTTCCCTGGAGCACTCCCGGCATTCCCTGGCCCCCTTCAGGGTGAGATGGACCCCTTAGTGTGACCTCACTATGCCCATTCTGGTTGAAGTTACCTTTGTTCTCTTGGAACGGCCTCAGGTCTGAACGTAGGACACATGACACTATCCTAGCTCAGCACATCCCAAGCAGTTATACTAGCAAGAATGACCACACTGTCAGGGCAGGTCCAAACGGCCAGGTGGAGCCAGAGACAGCTCCAGCTCCTCTTTATCCCATAGTGGACACTAGGGGCTTGCCATCATGGGCACTCCAGACTCAGGGAGGGGAGGCAGGAAACTCACTGAAGTTACCTCCCATGCTATCCTGTGCAGCTTCAACCACAGGCAAGCTGACTAAAC